AGGGGCGGCGGCGCGCGGCGGGCGTCACGGGCGTCACGGGCCCGCGTCAGGCGGCGTCGGCGGCGGCGCACGCCTCCATCTTGCCGGAAGGCGGCGGGCGGGGGCTGGGGGCGGCCCCGCGTGTGGGCGCGGGCCGCGAGGGCTCGGGAGAGGGTGGCAGCCATGTCCACGCGGGCCCCGGGGGTAGCCGTGTCCACGCGGCTTCGGGTGTGGGCGCGCGGGCCCGGCGGGAACCATGTCCACGCGGGCCTGGGGGCGGGGGGAGCCCTGGGGGGAGCCGCGACCATGCGGCCCCCGTTGTGGGCGCGTCCGGAGTGGGACCCACTGGTGGGAAACGTAGCCACACGGACTCGGGTAGGAGCTGCCTCCGTACGGGCCCTTTGCTAGTGATGACCTGGTCCCCACCTGGTTAACTTTATAATCCATTCAGCTGATTGGCTTTTCACTGAACCAAGTTCGCTTTTTTCCCTAACGTTTCAACTTTGTTTTCATTACTTCAGTCTTTTTTTCCTTCTTCTTCGACATATGGAAAGCTGTATGTAACTGACACAACTTGAGTTTGGAGATAAGCGTACACCTGGGAAGCCGTCCCCACAGCCTAGGCAGCAGTGGTGTCCGTCCTCTTCAGATGTCGCCCCACCCCTTGTGTATTATTTGGCGATGCCAACCCTGTTGCCACCTTTTCAGAATAGGACACTGCTGGGACCGGTAGGCACTGCTGTCATCGTCACACGGCACCCCCACCCCGGGCCACTCTGCTCTGAGCTTCAGTGTGTGAGACCCCCATAGGCGTGCTGTCGTGGATTTGCCCTGTGTCTGGCTTCCTTCAGCGTGGTGGCCTCTAGGTTCATCCGTGTCACACGTGGCAAACTTGCCTTTTATAAAAGTGACATTCCTTGGTGTGTGTACACCACGTTTTTATCCATTCGCCCATCAATGGCCACTTCACTGCTTCCATATGTTGGCTGTTGTGAAGAACGTCGCATTGAACGTGGGGTGCAGATGTCTCGGACCCTGATGTCATTTGCTCTGGATGAACACCCAGAAGTGGAACCCTGGGTCCCATGGTGGTTCTATTTTAGTCTTTTGAGGACCGCCATTACTGTTTTACACAGTGGCTGCACCTGTTGACAGGGCCACCAACAGTATAGAAACTTGGTCAGTCTTATTAATGGTAAAAGCAACTACAACAAGATAGATTAGGCAGGCTGCTGGTTCAGATACTATTTCTTCATGGGAAGTATCTTAAAAATCGTGGGAAGACACACTGGATGGAGAGGAATTTGTATCCATATATTTACGTATATATGTGTATGTATACAAGTTCCATTAATATAGGACACTTATAAAACTACTTTCAAACCTAGGCCTTAAAATAAGTCATTTCAGGCCTGAACTGGGAAGGAGGCCGTTCAAATGTCTTCAGAGCCACCAGACAGAATCCTGTGGGTTGGGGACAGCACAGGTGCCTGGTGCTGCCTCGCTGCGTATGACTCGGGGGGCGTAGTTGAGACGGGAGCTGGTGTATTTGTGCCCCCCGCCCGCGGGGACGCAGAAGGCAGGACAAGAGGGCCCACCTCCAGGGATGGTCTCTTCTGACATTTTTCAAGAGAGGCTGGAAATCTGAAATTGCTTTATGTGAACCTTGTAAACTTTGAAAAAGTCAGCAACTAATTAAAGATGTGGAAACACAGTGAGGATCCAAGAAATTATGCTTTTGGGCCACGTGTATGACCTCTGCTGTGTTTCTAGTGGTATTTTTATTACCGTGTCAAAATAAGAATGTCCAAACCTGTTGAGAATTTTTGTAATTATTTGAGCCAAACAGGATACACCTGGAAGCAAGATCTCATCAGACTGCGACAAATGTTTCCCATAAATGACAGTTTGCAGCTTCTTTTATGCGTTTGGAATTAAGGAGGGATCATGAGGAAGATGACGTGGGGGTGAGAGAAAGCAAGGGGGGATGGGATTACTGAGTTAAGATTACTGTGCTTTAGAAGGAAGGTCTGACAGGGCATTTCAAAGGCGTGGGAACCTAGATGCACAGAGGCAGTGGACAGGGCTGCTTACTGCAAAGGTGAGACTTGACGGAAAGTCCTAGTTCTGGCGACCACCCACCATGACCCGACAGCAGCGAGGGATTTCTGACCAGCTCCCCTCCGAGCTTTCTTTCCTACAGCCCCTTTTTCGTCCACAGGAAAATACTGTGATTTTGCAGAAGACAGAAAGCCCTATCTGAATCTGAGGGCTGACCGCACACTAACAAACACTGTTCTCCATAGGGAGACCGGAGAACACGCAGTCGTTTCCTCAGTTGTCCTTGCTTTTTCGTTGAGAAGGCGTGTTTTCTTGGCAGTAGTTAACCACCATACCCCTCTTCAGATCACCTACATTTCTAGATACCTTGCATTTCTCGGTCAAGGGTAAATGATAAGAGAGTGCCGTCATTTTCAATGGGTGGCCAGGGACTGCAGGGCTCTTCTTTTCTCTGGTTTGTCTTGCCTGTGGCCGTTTCTCGTGGAGTTGTCTGGGGACCCATTTCTAGTTAGGAAGGAGGGGAGCCCACAGGTCCTGCTCAGTCTCAAGACTATAGAAAGTAGGGTAGGCCAGAGGACCTTTTGCTCTCCTCCAACAGATGTTCACAAAATTGTTAGATAAATTATTGGGTTGTCAGAAAAGTCATGCTGTATTTTTCTATGGTTTTCGTTGCAAAAATGCGTCGTGACTGTTCCAACAACCCAATGGATGGAACGTGAGCAGCAAAAACCTGAGCCCTGGAGGCCAAGCTTTGCGAGGGTGTTGAATGTGGGCTAGTGAATTCTGGCGGGAAGGCTCATTACTGTGAGTGTGCTGGGAGCTCAGAGGAGAGTGGGGGGTCCCTCCTGCAGAGCTTCCCCCTGGCTGAGTGCAGTCGCTTCCACCGCTGGGCGGGCAGGCGGGCGCTCACGCGTGCTGGGCCAGGTGGTCCGCTGGACAGCGCATTGTTTGCCTCAGAGCTGGGCAGGCGACGTCATTTGCACGTTGAGAAGTATGATAAAAGTGAAGTTCTGAAAATGTTTCTTTTTCAGTGAGTTTTTATATTCTCTACTTTGTAGCCTGTATCTAGTTCTAAGTCATTCTGTTCTTATTGCATTAAAAAGTTGTTTTTTAGTGTGGCAAAATAGACACACCGTAGAATTTACCTTCTTACCCATTTTTAAGTGTGCGTTCAGCACGTTCGCATTGCTGTGCAGCCATCACCACCCTCGTCCTCAGAGCTTCTTCATCTTCCCAGACGGACACACTGCCCCCTTCAAACACTGACTTCCCCCGCCCCCCGCCCTGGGAGCCTCTACCCTACTTTCTGCCTGTAGACTTTGACTGTTCTTATTCATATTGTTCATACAAGTGGAATCATCCAATATCTGTCCTTTGTGTCTGGCCTCTTTCACTTAGTGTGATATTTTCAAGGCTCACCCATGCTGTCACATGTGTCAGAATTTCAGTTCTTTTTAAAGCTGAATACCATCCCGTTGTATGTGTGGGCCTCACTTTGACCAACTCATCTGCTGGCGGGCCCCTGGGTGGTTCCCTCCTTTTGTCTGTTTGAATGTGCTGCCGAGTATCTGTGTTAGTCAGTCCCCACTTTCGCTTTGGGCCGCATGTGCCTACAAGTGGCATTGCTGGGTCGTATGGCAGTTCTGTGCTGAACGTTCTGAGGAGCCCTGCCTGCTCTCCACGCGGCCGCGCCGTTGACTTGGCTCCCAGCCATGCTCAGAGCTGCAGCTTCCCCACATCCTCGACAGCACTGCTTTCCTGGTTTCTGTTCCTTTATGAACAGAACCCTCTTGCTGGCTGTGAGGTGACATCTTACTGTGGTTTTGGTCTGCATTTCCCTGATGATCCGTGATGCTGAGCTCCTTTTTGTGGGCTTGTTGGCTGCTTGTATGTTTTCTTTGGAGAAATGTCTATTCTAAGCTCTTCGCCCATGTGTTTGTTAAATAGGGTTTTTTTTTGTTGTTGTTCTAGTTCTTTTTATTTATTTATTTTAAGATTTTATTGGGGAATTGGGGGAGGGAAACAGCTCTGGGGAATTGGGGGAATCGGGGAATCGGAAGGGGAACAGATAAGTAGCTGTCCTTTGGTTCTTCAGCCTAGTTGTGGAGGACATCGCTTCACTAGCCCATGTTGGTATTGTGATCATTGCGCTCTTCCCGGCTGAGGCAGTTGGTTGCCAGCCATTGGACAGCTGCTCATGGCAGCTCATGCCGGCTGCCAGCCACTCACAGTAGCTTATGGCAGCCCACTGCAGCCTACGCTGTCGCCGGTGACTCATGACAGCCCAGCTCCAGGTCAAGTTGTTCGCCATCTTAGCTGTAGAAGGTTCAGCGTCACTGGCCCTAATGTGGGATCCGAACCGGCGGCCCTGCTGCTCAGAGCTTGCGCTCCCAAGCCAACTCTTAAACAACGAGCCACTCGGCTGGCCCCATACTAGGACTTTTGAAGAAACTCCAACTTTTTGGTTTCATGGACCCCTTCCAATCTGAAACATTTATGGAGGACCCCCAAAGAGCTTTGTTTATGTGGGTTATATGGATTGACAGCTATCACATTAGGAATTAAAACTCAGAAATTAAAAAAATAGTAATTCCTTTTAAAATGATATACCCATTACATATTAACATAACACTTTAAAAACAACGAAATTTTCCAAAAAAAGTTAGAATGGTTGCAGTACATGAAAAAAACTCTAGTTTCATGGAGATAGGTGGTTGGAAAAGAAAAGCATAATTTAATAGCTCGTTCCTTAATACTGAACTGAAGCTTGATGAGGGGTAGTTTCTTAAAGAGTTGGCCACAATGTCACCTGGAGCCCTACCAATGAACGCTGCATGCTCTTACATCAGCTGCTGGTCCACCTTTGCTGGGCGAACCTTTACCCATGCTTGGGGGGCCTAGAGCCACGGCGGTGACTGGGCCCACAAGGCTGCAGAGGGAAGGCGTTACCTTTGTCCCGCTTCCTGTGTGGTCCAGGGCCTGAGGGGAGGGCCTCTTGGTTGCAGGGTCTGAAGTTGGTGACTTGCACAACAGTGTTTTTCTCCTCCTGTGTAACAAACCAAGAGCAAAAAGTCCCCTTCCCTTGGGACCCAGGGTGGGCTGGGCATCCCCCATGGGTGCTCCTGGGGAGGAGCCAGCATCCCACACCCCAGACCTAGTCCCTCATGTCAGCCAAGCGGCGCCCAGTGCTGTAACCTCGCTCTTTTGGAGACAGAAGAGGTGAGTTCAGGTTCAGTGTCAGATCTGAGGTCATGCGGCACTGGAAACACAGAGACAGGCAGTCCGGGGTGCCCACAGACTCCGGGGCTGGTGGCCATGGCTCCTCCTGATGGGAGAGCAGTAGTCTCCTGGTGCAGGCACGATGTCGCTGGCAGCCCTCTCCTGGTGCCATGCTGGCCTGGTCTCCAACGCCAGCGTCTCCTGGGCTTTCTCCATTGACTTTATTGGCATTTATGTCCAGAACATGAGGACAGGGAAACTCAGATAAATAACACAGACGGTGCACGCCTGCTCTCATATTTACCAGATAATAAAATACCAGCACTGACATAGGCTCAACAGTTTAATCTTTAAAAAGAAAGACTTTTCCCATCACTGACTTGAGTACACTCTACACTATTTAAAACAGCATGGAAGTGCAACTCTCTTAATTGCTTGAAAACTTCCCAGGATGGCCTTCAGTTGTCTTCCTACTGAAGTGTAAACATGCCTTAGCCCTAAAAAGACATGTTTCCTGCCTTACCTGCTTTCTCTGTTCCTGGAGTGGGAGCACTCAGGAATCCGGCAGCCTTTCATCCCGCACCCAAGTTTTCCCAGCAGCTGCTTGCAGCAAGAGCAAGGATATTGAACAGATCAGCAGAGCTCAGGCGTGGGCGCCCTGTTCTGAGAAGTGATAGCCTCAGTCATCCTCTGGGCACCACCCTAAGTGCCAGGAGCACGGGGAGATTAAAGAATGTGCCCAACACCACGATGGCTTCCTCCGAAGTCCTCAGGCCAAGAGCAGCTTGCTTCACAATTGACCCCGCTCTCGGTGGGGCAAATGAATCCCATCAACCACAACCCTGGGGCCCCACTGCACCTTTTGGTCAAACAGCAAGGCCTGGCTGTACCTAGCTCCCAAGCCAAAGGAACTCCATAAAAGCTGAATGATGCTTATCGTCTTACATTCTGGAAAACCAAAGTCTTTATATGCCAGCTCTTTACCCATAGAGAGCGCATGCGCAAAATTCTCAGCGCATCCCTAACCCTAACCGGGATTTTTTTTTATGGCTGTCAGCGATAACTGAGGAACTGAATTTTTACTTTAATTAAATTTAAATGAGCACATGTGGCCAGTGGTTACAGCACTGACAGCGCGGCTGGGGGTGTCACCACTTAAAAGAACACTGTATAGAAAGTACTGCGCAGATTCTAAGGCTTCCTATAAGAAATTAAACATAGCTGCAGGATTCGGACTCGAAAAGCGGAAGGATGTAGAGACACGCTGTTTTTTCTGAGTAGGCCGCCCGGCGTATCTGCGTAGGCCCCTTGGACATGCTTGAGTTGAGCGGACCTGTATCTGGGTTTTCTCGTTACTATTCACGCACAGCTCCCCAGTCTTTAAAGTCTTCCTACGCAGTTTTCCCCGCTCGTACCCACGGAGGGATTGCTCGGAACCCGGCAGGCCTGTGGGTGCCCAGCAAGTACGCCAGCTGGCGGGGCCCGGAACGAGCTACGCAGCGAGGGTGCCGCCCTGTGCCAGGGGCCCCGCCCCC